CATTATAAATATCCTCCCCCCCCCCCCCCTCTCTCCCTCCCCTACCCCCACCGATCTTACCCACCAGAGATCCTCTCTTGATAGTTCTCTTTACGTGTCATTTCCCTTTAGCCTTGTGCCCTCCCCCCTCTTTAATGCAAAGTCCCACCGTCTTCAAGTACATCATCATCGGGGACAGCGGTGTCGGGAAGAGCTGTCTGCTGTTACAGTTCATCGATCGACGGTTTGAGCCGCTGCATGACCTCACCATCGGCGTCGAGTTCGGCACACGCCTGGTCACAGTGCGGGGCCAGCAGAGCGTGAAGCTGCAGATCTGGGACACGGCAGGGCAGGAGAGCTTCCGTAGCATCACGCGAAGCTACTACCGTGGCGCGAGCGGAGCGCTGTTGGTTTACGACGTGACCGAGCGCAGCAGCTTCGCACATCTGCAGAGCTGGCTCGAGGACGCCCGCGCGAACGCAGCGACGGCGATTGTGATTATGCTGATCGGGAACAAGTACGACTTGGAGGGGGAGCGTCAGGTGAGTCGCGAGGAGGGTGAGGCTTTCGCGCGGAAGAATGGCTTGCTTTTTACGGAGACAAGCGCGAAGACCGCGCTGAATGTTGACGAAGCGTTTTTGAAGACGGCAACGACAATTTACGAGAACGTGCAGGCGGGGTTGATTGATGAATCTGTAGTTTCTGGAAAACCTATTTCGTCTTTGAGTTCCAGAGGAGGAATGGGAAGCCCTCAACGAGACTCTGAACAGACGAATAATTTTAGCTTTAAAGGTTGCTGTTAGTCGGATGAGTTGGTCTTCTTCCTTACGTATACCATTTCTGGTATATCGATGAGAAATGGTTTAATTGTTTGTTGCGTATGACGGAATGAAGAAGATCGACACTCATTTCTTATATATTTTTTCCTTTTGCTGTAGATCCTTGAAGAAAAAAGACTTAATAGAAAAGGCATTAGGTATTGTAAAAAAAAGTTCACGGAGCAGTCTCCGGAAGAGGAAGAAAGAATATGTAGATGAAATGGGAGAAAGTGAACTATTCTGTTGTGTAGATGTGAGGAGGTTGTAATCTGATTACGGTTTCTCTATTCTTTCTCTGATTTCAGTATTCATTTCCCTTTCTATACGTTTAATGAACGATACATCACCAATGTATTGTACATTTCTTTTGAGGTAGATTATGTATAAACGCATTTATTTTCTCTTTTTTTTTAGAAAAAGAGTTGAAAAAAAATTTCCTTAGGTTTGTATACGTTCGGCTTCCATCTTTTATTGATTTTTTTTGTGATGCATGCATGCATATATATATTTTTTCCAATATAACTATTATCAGAATGCTTGAAGGATAAACATTAACTTGTTGTCGATGCTTTACCATAAAAAAATTACGCAACTGAACCGATGTTCAAAGAACCTGAAATTGGCGTTACGTTTTGTACATGATTCTTTCTCGAACTTGTTGATTATTTTCTCTTATTTATTGGATTTATCATATTAATCAATTCAAGCTAGTATTTGATTTTTAGCGTTTTTTTTTCAAATTCAAGTCGTCACAATTAAAAGCTTCACCTAAGTGGACAATAAATAAACGAAAAGGTAAAAATGAACTCATTTTTTTTAAAGTCCTCCAGGAGGGTGGTGCGTGCTTTTTTTATAGTTGCATTGCTATCTCTTTTTCTATTGTCTAGCTATGCTCGTGCAGATGACGGCGGTATTGCGGTTCAAGTCAAGGCAGGAAAGAAAGTTTGTTTTTACGAGGATGTCAAAGATATCCGCTCGCGTGTTTTTTTTCATTACTCTGTTAATGATGGCGGGATGTTAGATATTATGGTGACTATACAAGGCCCTGACGGGGCGATTTTGTGGATGTCCGAGAAAGGAATGGAACAACGCGTACTTTTTAAAGCACGAAAGGCCGGAGCTCATAGATTCTGCTTGTCAAATGAAATGAGCACCGTATCGGATAAGGTTGTGGCGTTCTCTGTAATAGTGGGAGATACGGATGAGTTGAAGGAAGGGGAGGCGGGGCCAAAAAGGCCGCGGGATATGCTCCAAAGGACGGTTCACCGGATTGATCAGGGCCTGAACGAGATTGAGGAACTGCAGAGCTTCCTCCGCACGCGCGAGCGCGAACATCGGGCGACGATTGAAGTCGCAAATACGCGCGTGGTCATATGGTCGGTTCTGGAGATTATCTTTATTGTGGGAATGGCGATGACCAGTATGCACTACTTCCGTAAGCTGTTTAGCCTCAAACGTGTGATTTAATTGTAAGAGAATCTAGATATGGGTAAGGAGGAGAATCATTATTTTTATTATATGAGAGAGGAACACGTGTCAAAATTTTTATTAGCTTCTTTAGTTTATCCTATTTACTTCTCAATATATATATATATATACCTATAGGGTAAAATAGATATCGATAATTTTTAGTTGATGTACGAGATGTCTTTATTTTTATCTTTGGTATACTGTTGATGCTATAGATGAGGACTGTGTGATATTACTTATGTTACGAGGGAAAGTGATAACATTGCTATTACTCTACTAAGCATTTTAGAGATTGTAGATGGTGGATGGTAAGTAAATTCGTTGGGGTACAATAAGAAAAGAGGTTTTGTTGATCAGGAATGGAACGATGCATTCAAAAGCTCCTTTACATTTCGAAAATGAAGCGATCTTGTATTCAATTCCCATTCATTCACCCTTTTAGAAAGCTGGGAATAATTAGTATCCAATCAGAGGCAGTTTCACCTTTTTTCTTTATCATTCCAGCATATTCTTTAATAACTTTCGGTTATTTTCTCTCCTGGTACGGGGGAGGTGGGGTGGATTACTAGAGTTCAAAAAGAACAAAAAAATATGCCCCATCGTCCACTAATTGGAAATTGGTTTGAGGAGGATGCCTATGAGCGGGATCGGACGCAGCTTATACAGAGCCGTTATGGCGGCCTTATCGACGCTCGCAGTGAGGTCGCCCGTATCGCCGCGAAGATTACGCATCACAACACGCCTACCGAAATCGCCAGTATTGCCTCTGATGGCTATCTACGTTTTTTTCGCCCGATGATGCTCCAAAACGCGTGCACGTTAGGTTATCTTAGCGTCGATCTCGAGGACCGCGTACAAACAACGACGGGATGGCGTATAAATTGCTCAACCGCGGCCGTGGACGGGGCGAATCGGCGGAGTGTCTTTATGCTTCTCCCTTCTCCTGCTCCGCTTGTCGGAAGTTATCCAGTTCCCCTTGGTGAGGAGGACATCGTGCACTACGGGCAGCCTTTTTATATTACCACGATCAAATCGCTTTGCGAGGAGCCTCTTTCGCTCGTGTCTGAATTTTCGCTGAATCGATCCTATTCGAAGGCGTCTGGAAAGCATCAGGAAGTGTATTTTTCTCCAGATGGTGGGAGTGCAGCATGTATGTGGTATGTGGTTCACAAAGATCCGGATTGTGTGGAGGATATGCGCGATCACCCCGTGCGCGCACAAGACGCGATTATGATTCAGCATAACATGACGAACGCCCCACTCGCGAGCACCGAATCGGTTTTTTATAATGATTTTGGCACCCAAAATGAGGTTTGCGCTGGGCGTTTTTTGAGATACGCCTCGAAACGACGCGCCGGACCGATCGAGAATGAAAATTGCTGGATTTTTATCCACCATGGACAAGGCGCGCCGGAAGGGGTGAATTCAACAACGACGGTAGAATCTACTATTGATCCCAATGCGGAAACTAACTTCTCATCTAATGCAGGCAATATTACTGCTAATACTACCGTTGATACTTCCAATGTGAATAATAGTAGATTTCATACAAGGGGAGAACGTTCTGTCAGGTGGGAAGACGAGAAGAGATAGGGGATGATATGCGTTTTGTTTAACGTTTATTATCTACCAAGTGATACCTTTTGGTAGAAAAACCAACGCGCAAGCGATGGAAATGTATTTTTTCTATATGGTATTGCGTTTTTTTTTTTTAGAACATCACTAAATCATTAGGATTTGATTTCTTTGGTGTGTTCAATCGGTCCTAAGTTCATGTACACTACTTCTTGTTTTATTCATATTGCCATCTTTGGTCTCTCGAACTACATGATAATACATGATATGGATATGGAATCCCCCCCAAAACACACACACACACACAAAAAAGGATCGAACAACCAAAAAGAATCACCATTTTCAAATTTAGTTGTGTGTATGAATAGATTCTACCTTTTTTTTTGCCCTTTTCTTTGGTTTAGAAATACCCGTGATTAACAATCACCCCCATACACTCACAGAGAGCGATATTCTTCATTTGGTCTGCATTCAGCAGACAATACCGCATCGACCACTGGCAATTCCCTAACGCCGTCTTATTTGGACTGCTATCGATTATTGGACTGAACAATTTATGATTTCTTCTTTATCGATTTATTTTCTGGGGGGTTTGGTGGGGCTTCTTTGCCTTTTTTCACCTCCCGTGCGCGCGATTTCGCTTCACCACGGCGCGGAGTGGCGCCATCTCGACTGTTCGGCCTGTTTGACGGTGGCGATGGTGTTGGAGGAGAGGATGGCGAACTCCCTGAAGTTCGGCCCGACTTCTTATCTTCTCCATCATCGCATCGCGGAGAATTCCACCATTCATCGACCACGACGGGACTTTCGCACGAGCGAGGCCCGCGCGTTTGAGGTGTTAGAGGTCCTTTGTAGGGAGAAATTCTACTATCCCTACCCTCTACGGCTGAACCCGAAGACAAAGGTTCGTGGGTATCACCTCCGCTCTTATGGGGATCTGCGCCGCTCAAACTACAGCGAATTAAGGGAAAAGGACCGGTTTCCTCCCGGGATGGATCTCAGGCAGCTGAATTTGGTGGATCAGGTGATTTATCTTAGTTTGGCGCAGCTTTACACCACGCGTGAGGTCCGCGAGCTGAGCGCTATCACTTTGAACGCGCCGGAGCAGTTTTGCGTGCGGCTCATGGAGGACCATGAGGAGGCGCTCGAGGAGATTGTGCGGTATGCGGACGGCTTAACCGAGCTGGAAGCGCTGCTATGCGGGTTGAAATGGCGGGAACGGAAGGACTTGGCTTCGACTTCAAGAGGGGTTTTGAGGAGGTTTCGCGAGCCGCTAACGAGGGTCTGCGAGGATGTCGCCGCTTTGCGCTCCGCCGCGGCGCTCGATCAGCGGTGTTGGGAGGCCTGGGATCGCCACACTCGACACCGCACGCAGACGGCCCCAAAGGAGGGGAAGGAGGCGTTCAATCAAACTTCCAACGCTACGATATCGAGCGATTTAAATAATGTAAATGAGGGACTTAATGACGATAATGCCCTTCAAAAGGCAGAGGCGGAGAGCGTGATGTCTCATGTATATGATGAGGATAAAGATCTTTAAGGTACATGGGATTAAATATTTGTATCGCTTTCTTTTCATATATATATATATTTTATTTTTTGTCAGATATTCTTTATGACAATCCAATTTTGGATACACACCTTTCTTTCAAAATGATATATATATATATTTTCAGTTATCTGTATGATCACAAATTATAATACTGTTTTATTTTATTCACAATGATAACTTTATCCGGCTTTAATTTCGCTAAATTGAGAATTGAAAATCTATAAAAAATAAAGAAAAAACGACTTTTAAGTTTCTTTTTATACACGTCTTTTCATCGTTTTAGATGACTAGCTCAGGAGATATTGCACCTGGTATAAACATGCCCAAAAAACGTGATCCCCGTCTGCGCGGAATTCAAGCTCCGCAAACAAAGCAATTTTTCGATTCAGCCGATTACGAGGTTCGGCGTCAGCAAAACGTAAGCGCTCCACAACTACAGCCTCAAGCGCAAACTAGGCCTACTTCTTATTCCTAGATTGATCTATACAGTTTTTGAACGCTCATATTTATTCATTCTTTTTTTTTCCTACGCCTTTCTCTTAGGGGTCATTTTTTGTTGTTGTGATCGTCGTTTTTGATTACAACTCACCTCGATGTCATGTTGAACATTACTAGGTCTGTCTTCAATTTTGTCTATATTTCACTTAAGATTATTATTATTATGTTCATTTTAACATCACACAGACGATGTTGTAGGGTATACTCACGCATTTTTCATTTTCAATGGTATGCTTTTCTTTATAACTTTCAATGCTCCTCCCTAGCCCTTCTGTATTGTCTTTTTTATTTATTGCTTATTTACGATGTAGATTTTCTATTTAAATTATCCAAGACTCTCTTTTCCACGCTTTTGAGTCCACATTTTATTGTGAATATTGATCATGCGTGCCTTCATTATGAGTAAGCTTACTTTCGAAGACGTATGAATACGTTTCACGTGCCTGTGTGAGCTAGACAATGAAAAGTATGATATGCAAAGGTCTACATGTATGTGATATATGAAACCTCAAATGACTTAAAAAAAAATTCATTATGTTTGAGCATACCAATACATATATATATATCATTGAAAAATGCATCACTACCACTCTGTGCACATTACTATTTTTATTGTAGCTAAAGTTTCAAATTTTAAGCCTTTATCTATAATAACTTAGAATGCATCCGCTTATCTGTGCAAAAGAAACGAAAAATATATTATTGCTTCACTTTGCTTCATTTATTCGCCTTTATCATTTCGATTGTTATCACAATGTTATGGGTTTCAATCTTAACTTACACAATAACAGCAAAAGTTGTAAGTAGGTCAATGTTGGTATTTCTGAGTTTGTATATTCTTTTAATCCGCTTAATCAATTTATGGTAAATATTGATTATCTAACAAAAGGTCTAGGCCATTTGTGTGTACTGAAACTACTTTTTATAATTATAGGGTAGTCAGACACATACACGCACATTATTTATCTTCAAATAATAGGTAGATTTCAAACGGATTGTATAACTTCCTCGGTATGTCTGACTCTTGTGCACTTCCTCAAGCCGAGACTAGGAGCGCGTCCAAGGAAAAACAAATCTCTTCTGCGCATGCGATCCTCACCTCTGAGAGGATCTCGGAGGAGATTCGCCAGGATGACGCCGCAATGGCGGAGGACCTTCGTATTCTTGCACCGCAGCGCAAAGGCGTTAATCACAAAAAAGAAAAGAAATCCTCCCCTCAGTCGTTGCTCCCCACCTCCCGTTTCAGAGGGATGGCAGCGCAGAAAAATAGAAGTGATGTGGCCGCGATTTCTTCCTTTAAAGAAAAAGAGACCACTGAGACGTTCATTGAGCGAAAACGAGAGATGGGGCTCGTGCGCATATCATTAGAGTCAAAGAAGGCAGAAATACGCAGGCTCGACGATGCTTCAGACCGGGCTGAAAAACAACTCAGGCAGAAGGAGGATCAACTCGAAAGCATCAAAGAAAAATTTAATAACTTTTTGAAGAGTAGTAGTCTTGAGCAGGACGCGGCGATGCGACGTGTAGACTTCGAGACCAAGGCCAAGTACGAAAAGATGCTCGAAATCAAGAAACTCACCGCGCACATTGCCCACATTGAATCCGAAATGCGAAAAATAAACCTACAGCTCGATCGATGCAAGTCGTATAAGGAATTTTTGAATGGATTGACGAAGCCGCAGTGGTTCTACGACGTTCTCGTCGATCTCCGTGTGGGGGATTGCACACAAGAAATTCTTCACGAGGCGGAGGAGGAGTATGCCGCTCGCGTGGAGGAACTACGAACTATCCATGCCACACCCGCGGCGCTCGAGCACCCAGAACGTCAAATGAGCTATACCATACCTGATTCCTTCACGCATACCACCACTAATCCCTCACCCGGAGAGCAGAGTGAAAGCTTAAGCATTCAGATAAACTGCCTCCACGAGAGCATCCAAGAAAATGCGCAGAAGAAAGCGAAGGACATGCAGATGCAGATCCGGGCCACCGTTCAGGCGATGCCACTCGAAGAGGTGAAGACCGTGATCGCCACGGAGTACCCCGAAAGCCGCATTCCGCTCTACTTCAAAGACGTCAACCAGCTCCTGGATGTGTTCATCGACATCGAGGAGGGGAATTTGTTTCTTATCCAGAACTGCCAGGAGCTGGAGGAGGAGCTCGAGGGCGTCACCATCTCCTTCGTGAACGAGAAGAACAGCCTCCAGACGATGGTGGACCAGCGCCATAGCCAAATGGGCGTCCTGATGGAGAAGATCGCCACCACCGAGGAGAAGCTCAAGGAGCTGGAGGATCGCCTGTTCGCCCTAGACAAGCCCCGCACGGCGATCGGGGTTGGGAAGGGGGTGGACTCCCCCCCTCCTCCC